GATCTTCTCATTTGCGGTGGTCTGGATTTAGAACACGAAGTAGTGTAATGTTCCATTTCGTTGTACTTGAAACATCGTATATTGAACCGATCTTTTACTTAAGAATTATTGCTTCCGTTTTGATTGTTTCTTTTTGCGTTCTGTCCCTTTTCCAGTCGACTACGGCATTCGAAAATTTTATGATACATTTTTCTGCAATGGTGACATTTCACTTGGAACTTGCACTCTATACCGATTGAATATGCCTCCACTTCCGTATTACGCTTCTTAAAAGCGTGGACCTGAAGTTGCGACTTATTACGATGATGGTATATACTCAGAGCAGCATACTGTTGTCGATTTTCGCCATGTATGTCAACGCTACTGACACTGCGATTTTCTCCAAGTCTTCAGCTTTTCACTTATACATGAGGGACGTAATAATTCATCTGGCATATTTTGCAGACCCTCTCCCGATTCAGGACGACCATTCAAAACGCTGTAGTTGTCCCTACTCCCATGAATCGTTGAAGAAACAACTCTTTAAATTGTGTCCCGGTTGTGCCTGCGAAAGATATTTAGGATAGCCATTGTGATGCGCCTCGAGCGTAAAACGAGCACTTACGATGGGATACGGTTGCGGACGGAGATCTATATTTGACGTATGAAATTAAACTATTGTAATTCTTATAGCTGAAACAGCCACCGACATTCCTCCCTACCGTACTTACCGCCCGTATCAAACCAAATCAGTTGTTATCTTTTGTTTTCATTTCACCAATGTTGCCATTGTTCTGTTTGTATACACGATTTTTCACACATTTAGTTTTTAGTTATATTTTTCCATAATGTAACTGCTCAAAACTAAAATCCAACTATTACAAATAGTTTACCTATTTATAAATAAATGTATTCGACTGTGATTTTGAGTTATTTTAATGATATTTCAAATATATTCAAGTTTATTTTTTAATTACTACAAAATATCGAGATTAACAACCCTGCATTGCAAGATATTGTTCTCTCACTCTCAGCTCACTCATTTCTACAGGAAGAATCCAATTTTCACGGATATCCTAACGTACGGTCTGTTGAAGCGGACGGTAGAAGCGGTGGTGAGTGTTCATTTACATTGCGCTCTCATAAGATAGGTCGTAGCAGCTGACGTACGGAAGGGAGAAATGTCGGTGACTGTTTGAGCTATTACTCGATAAAATATCATATAGTCCCTTTTTATATGCGAAATTGTTCAACTCCAATCTAATTGTCACTCAACCTTAAATATTATAAACTTTGATACACTCATTTGCACGTGCACATATACAGACCGGTCGCTCCTTATACGTTTACGTTATTAATTCAATTTTAATTTTTTTATGTAACATATTCTTATTTTTTATTTTACTTCATATTATTCTCATTTTCAATTCAGTACACCTTTCTGGTAGACGAGTAAAACATGTTAATAGTATAATATAGTATGAATATAATGTAAATATGCATAGCAAAAGGAAAATTGGCTCAAGTATTTCAAATTAAGAGATATTAAGAGCACTTACAGAAATCTTCATTTTGAATGCTGGCAACACTGAAGTTATTTCAAATTTCACAGCTGTCTAGTGGTCGGAAAACTATTTAGTAACGCTGCCACTGAATATGATTGCGGCAACCCTGTTCATTTATTGGGCCAATGGCTCATCAAACAAAAATGGACCAAAACGGTAACCATGGTTGTCAATACGGAAGGGCGGCTCGCCGGTTACTAACAGAAGCATGACCATTGTATAAGCCTAGTACGTATATTAGTATAGGTATAAGTATAGTAGATTTATACAATGAGCATGACTCTGCGAGCGCGGCGTCCGATTATTGGACACTCCTTCTTTGCTTTCCAAGTACCTAATGGTTTCTGTCTCTCTCCTCTCTCAGTTCGCGGAATACGATCAGACTTCACTCAATGACAGTTTCTCTATTTCTGCAACTATATTTATTTGCTCTTATTTTCGGGTTTGATGTTGATTGGTCACATCAAAAATTACTTGATGCTGTTGAACTTGGTTTTATAGAAGCTAAGGAATCTAAGCTGCACGTTTTAACATTATTACATAAATATATGTGCTATATTCGTGGTTTCAATTGTATTACTTCCTATCTGACCATATTAGAAAATATTATCTTAAATATTAGTATTTTGCATTACTTCCAAAACTTACGGTGATATTCAGTGTTTTTGTTTCTGTGTCCAAAACATTGTTCTTTAACAAATAATCAATTGGTGTTGTATCTGGATCTCTTGTCTTCAGTTCCATTACTTTGCAAACATTACTATATTAAAAAATTTAATAACCAAATACCCAAAAACATAAAATTTCACCTGGGAGCTCTGAGACGAACTTTCTGCAATGTAATTTTTTTTGCAAATATTGCAAAATGCTTCAGTTTTATCTTTTTAACACTTCAAAGTCCAACTCAACAATTGCTCTCTCATTTTCAGTGGGAGATGAGTTGGACATATCTTTATCTCTGGTGTGGACGGAAATCCATATTTTACATATGAAATTCAACTAATTATTACTCGATAAAAAATCATATAGTCCCTCTTTTAAATGCCTAGTTGTCCAATACCTTTGCCACTCAACCTAAAATAACATTAATTGTGATACATTCATTTGAACGTGCACATATTCAAACCGGCATAGACCCGCTGATTTGCATTTTCACACTGTAAAGCATTGTATAAGCCTACAACCTAGATTTATACAATGCTGTAAAGGCAGTAACACAATGGCATGTTGTCGTTTCGTTGTGGTCGTGCCCATCCCTGGTAATGATAATAAAGTAGAGGTGGTAAACTGTCGATATTTTTCTGTCAGGCGACACGTGAACAACATTGACGACACAATTATCGACATTGTCGATTGTCGACACCATTGCGTCGATAATTAAAAACGACACGTATTGGCACAACATTGATTGTTGTAAAACCAGAGTAAAGGTTGTTACGAAAAGCAAAGAACCGCTAAAAACTGGTGCTTTATGTTTTTAAGCGCAGACAAAGTGTTATACAAAACAGATGCAGTTCTTTAATCTTTCTTTTCTCTCTCTTTGTAACATAATTATTTGTGTATATTTTTAACTGTTTGATATATGCGTTATTTTAGTTAGCAAGCTTTCTAATTGCTTAAGAATATTAGCATTGTCATATCTACCCTGAAATCGATAAGTTCCAAGTATAGTGTAGTAAAAAGCAAATTCAATGATTTTATTTAAGAAAACTGAAAATATTGATCTAACATAACTGGTGATTTTGGAATTTATTTTAAAAAAAATTTAAAGCCATTTTGAAAAGAAATCCAGATTTTAATATTGTTTAAAAAAAAAAAAATTTAAAAAATGGTTGGCCTCAAAGGCCATCCCTGCAACTTTAATGGGAGTTTAATATAAGACTATTTCCCAAATTTCTCAAAGACTAATCAATTTTGGTGATTTCTTTAGTTAACGATGTCTCGTTTTTAAATTTTTTGTTTTCGATATCTCGCAAGTAAATCAACCGATTTCGACCTGGTTTGCGGCATGTGTTTTTTTAAGGTTTAGAACTGATCAGTTTTTTGGTATCGATCGGTCGAGTCGTTTGGAAGTAATTTGAAAAATAAGCGATTTTTTCGAAATTTTTCGTTTTCGATATCTTGCAAGTAAATCAACCGATTTCGACCCGGTTTGCGGCAAACGATGATAAGTAATTTGAAAAAAAAACATTTTTTCGAAATTTTTCGTATTGGTCCGATTGAGTCCAAACTTACACGAAATTCAAGTGCAATGAAACCCTTTGGAATGCCGTTTAGTTTATTCAAATCGGTTGAGCCGTTTAAAAGTTATAAGAGGTTCACATACATCCACACATACATATAGACATACGAACATCATCGTAGAAATGTTCGGGGAAGCTTGCTCGACCCTCAGAACGTCGAGATCTGTTGAGAACTCGATTTTTACAAAATGGGGTGAAACCAATATCTTCCCGATTTTTAGAAAATTTTCAATTTTCTTAGCGGGAAGTTAAAAAAATTTAAATCTAAATGCTGAAGCCTTTTACCAGTCACAAACGAAAATATCAGTAAATATAAACTTTCTGCAATTACTTCCTGTGTCGTTGAAAGATCCTTTTTCGCTTTCAAAATGGGTTTCGGAGAGAAACGTCAAAGCGGCAGTAAACACATACACACCACCACTTTCCATCCGCAGTCGAATGGAATGGTGGAATGTCTTCACCGCCATTTGAAGGATGCGATTCGTTGTCACGAAAACAACTCATCGACATTCTACCAATCGTCTTTCTTGGAATTCGCGCTGCTTGGAAGGAAGATCTTGGCGCATCTTCTGCCGATCTCGTTTATGGAGAGCCAGTTCTCCTACCAGGTGAATTCCTCGCTCCTTCACCACGATCTGGTTTGCCACCATCCAATATGACAGAACGCTTGAGAAACTACTTCGCAGACCTCGCACCTCAACTCAACGTCAGATATGGACAGAGGAAAACATTCATTTTTAAAGAACTGGCGACATGTTCACACGTTTTTGTTCGTTGCGACGCTTCACACCACGCATTCACTTCACCGTATGAAGGACCTCACCGAGACATTTCAAGGCATGAGAAACATTTCACCATAAACGCAAAAAAAAAATAATTTAGAGAAAATTATGGTTGTATATAGTAATACGAATTGTTTTGAATAGTTGTTAAGCCTTGTATAGGTATATGACGTATCATATATTCTTCTTTAACCATTAAATGCATAGCGTACCGTGTATGGTTCATGCCTTAAATCCTTCGTAATTCGATCAAACTAATTTATATCGTAGTTTTATAGTACAGGAAATAGGCGTCTTATAAACTAAAGGGTATTTAAAAATTACCGCAGCTTTCTGAGGTTTACACTCAGTTGACACTGAGCTTTCGAAGTGGTTAGAAGTAAACTTTGCAAAAAATTTAAAGTTTTTATTTTATTTATCCATTAATAATAATTTATTACATTGTTTGTCCAATAAATATTACAGGTATTTAGTTAATTTATTATTTAGTGTTTATTTTAGCTAAATATCATGATATAGAATATAACTAGCCAAAACTTGTTTTGCTTTTTTTCTTTCGTATCGTTTATGTTTAAGCCAAATAAGAAATTGCATTTTGTTTAGCGCTTGCTATTTTATATTTACTTTGTGTGCAGACATTGATGAATTTGGAAATAATGGAAAGAGATATAACGCAAATGAAGTGGAAAATATGTTAACATATGTATGTGAAACAAAAACATGGAAACGTGTGTTATGATGAAGAAGAATTTGCAGATACTTTGAAGGAACTAATAGATGAAACCCAAAAATCGGATCGTATTAGAAATCAAGCCGAAATAGGTAGACTAAGAATTACTGGATAAAGATTCGCAGTCTGTATCCTGTAAGGATAATCGGGTAGTTATTGTGTCTCTACTTTCCTTGGGTTCTTTTGAAATGTAGCCAAACATAGAGCATGCAAGAGTCCAATAGGTTATAAAATATTAAAATTAGATTTTAATTTTTAATCCAATATGTTCGGGACTAGCGCACCCTAATGAAACACACCACACCTGAGAACACTCAAGGAATTTCACCTCACACGACGACACCACACTCAACATCGCTCCGGATGCGATTCATTTCACTATTTAAATATATAAATAAATTAAGTGTAACAATAATTTGTGTTAAAATAAATTTTCGCATATTTCCTATTATAAATATTAACCGCGAGAGTAAGTGACTCACAAAAACTTAAATACTTGTATGCTGTGCTGTGTGCTTCCCATTAAAGTGTGCACTCAACTATTCAATTTTTTTTTTATATATTTTAATCCGGTAAGGGGGATTAAATTTTTTTTTATAATTTTTTAATTCCGTATTTGGGATTACAAAATAAAAAAATATTTTAATTCAATTAATTTTTTAATGCATTATTTTCAGCCCTTGCTAGGGGTACTGACGCCAGTCTCTCGTGCAGCAAAACATACATCACCACAAAATTTTCATTTCGATGGCATTGATTATTTTCCTGAAGTTAAAGGTTGTGCAAGATACAAAAATGAAACATGTTATGTTGAGGACAAACACGTAAACACCCGTGTTTAAATGATAGTTGTAATTGTTTAGTAGCTTATCATAAAGATGATCAACAATAGTTCAATATTTATACTCTCGCAACATGTTGCTACAGAGTATAATAGTTTTGTTCACCTAACGGTTGTTTGTATCACCTAAAACTAATTGAGTTAGATATAGGGTTATATACATATATAAATGATCAGGATGAAGAGACGAGTTGAAACTACGGGTGACTGTGTGTCCGTCTGTCCGTCCGTCTGTGCAAGCTGTAACTTGAGTAAAAACTGAAATATTTTTATGAAATTTGGTATACATGTTTGTTGGTACCGTAAGACGGTTGATAATGCAGATGTGCGTAATCAAACCACTGCCACACTCACAAAATGCCATTAATCCAAAACAAATAAATTGCCATAACTAAGCTCCACAATAAGATACAAGGCTGGGAGGGGCATCTGCGGTATACATTTTTTAAAAAGTGGGCGTGGTTCCGCCCTTAATAGGTTTAATGTGCATATCTCCTAAACTGCTAAAGCTAAAATAACAAAACTCACTGAGAACACTGGTTTTTAGCACCTCTATCTATGGTGTGAAAATGGGTGAAATCGGGTGACAACCCCGCCCACTCCCCATATAACAGTACTATTAAAAACTACTAAAAGCGCGATAAATCAAGCACTAAATACGCCAGAGTCATTGAATTTAAACACAGGGATCGTATGAGCTGCCTTTATAGGAGCCGCATTCGAAATTAGACAATAGACGTGGCGTATATTTAGGTGAAAACCCATATCTTAGGATCTGCTAAACCAATTTCAACCAAATTCGGTACATAATATTCTTTTCATATTTCTATGTTATAGTGCGAAAATGGGCGAAATCAGATTACAACTACGCCTCTCTCCCATATAAAACCATTTTAAATTTCATCTGATGTTTTCACGTTCCAATATACAAATCGAGCAACAATGATTTAATCGGGGTAAGACTTTGCGTGAATAATACGCTTAAAGTATGCCACCTTGTGACCAAAATTATGCACGCCGCTAGGTACTGAATATGTGGACCCCAGTGCCTATAGCTAACCTTCTACCGAAAATATCGGTCAATCCGCAAAGAAATCTCAAACGAGTATACCATTTGACTTTGCGAGAGTAAAAAAGGTTCGGTTACATCCGAACTTAGCACTTCCTTACTTGTTATAAACTATTTTTATTTAAATTAATTTTTCTTATATTTCTTGCCAACTTAAAAGAGTTACTCCTCTTTATGTACATTTATTTTCCTTAATTTTAAAAAACTGAAGAAAAATTTTCATTTAAAAACCTTTCTCACTTATTTGGCACCAATGCATAGTGTAAGATATAGTACATATAGAAAAGCAAACATTTTGGACTGTTGGATGGATTGCCCTTCACAACGCAATTCACTTTCTCAACGCCTTACAGAGTGACCCCCTTGCAAGTGAAAATATTCGCTATTGCGAAAATGCTACTCTGTAAGTCGATAACTGCATTGGAAATTAAAATAGGAAAAAGGAAATATAAATAAGCTGTTGAAAAATTCCAACACAAAAAAAGAATTGAAAAAGGATGAATTTAGGATCAATGACATTAAAATCTGATAGTTATTTTTTTAAATATCCTATTTACATTTACTATAAGCCATATAATTTATAATCCATATTTTCACCTTTTATATTTAAAACTTGCACAGCTAATTTAAAATACTATGCAATTTGAATAAGGAAAAAAGTAAAGTAAAAATACTAAAAATTGCTTATAACAAATAAAAATCTACTATTTATTTTGAAGAGCACAGACACATTATAACATATTTAATTCTTTAGTTTTTACATTTCCTATTATTTCAAAGTTTAATTTGTTATCTCGATTTATGATTTTTCTAAATTTAAAATGTAATAATTATGTTTATAATTGTAGCACATACCTTTACTAGGTGCTTGACCGAGTTTACCTTCCCATTTGTGGCGTCCACATTGATGTACATGTGTATGTATGTATGAAAAGAATTTATTTCGGAATCCTCCTCTTACTTGTGTTTGTTTTGTTTACATTCACTAAATTTTTTTTTCGGAATATATGCTAGAGATTTCTAGTAAAACGTAAATATAACAAGTAAGGAAGTTCTAAGTTCGTGTGTAGCCGAACATTTTATACTCTTGCAACTTGAACTAGGATCAAAGGACGGGAAATTACTTGAGGTGTTAGCAAAATTTTATATGAAAGGAAGTATTGATTCGATTCAACCCATTTTTGACACAAACCGTATTATTTTTGTTATATGCATTTCAATTATATTATCTTACACATTGACCGATATTTTTGGTAAAAAGTCAACTATAGGCACTGGGGGCCGCATATTCAGTACCTAGGAGATTGAACTGTTTTGGTTAAATTTAGGAATTTTTTGGTCACATGGTGGCATGCTTCAAACGCATTATTCACGCAAAGTTTTATCCCGATACAATCAATGATGCTTGATTTGCATAGTGTAAAGTGATATAAACATATGCATATTTAAAATGATGTTATATGGGAAATACCAAATAACAGTCTTGTATCTTATTGTGGAGCTTATGGCAATTAATTTGTTTCGGATTAATGGCGTTTTGTGGGCGTGGCAGTGTTTCGATTACGCACATCTGCATTATCAACTGTCTTACGGTATCAACAAACATGTGTACCAAGTTTCATAAAGATATCTCAATTTTTACTCAAGACGGACGGACAGAGAGTCACCCGGATTTCAACACGTCTCTTCAACCTGATCATTTAGATATATACTTGTATATAATATATTAAAATATATAATATATTTAGATATATATATCTAACTCGATCAGTTTTAGATGATACAAACAACCGTTAATAGAACAAAATTATTATACTCTGTAGCAACATGTTACGAGAGTATAAAAATATTGTAACATACAAACGAATAGAAATTAAACTAGCACATACTCTTATATTGTCCTAACCGGATTATTTCGCCTCTAGTTTATAAATTGTGAGAAAATAATGTTGTTCAGAGTTAACAAAAAAGTAACAAATTTTTTGCAGAACATTGTAGATGTAAAACTTAAAAATAAATAAGTCTTCTTTTGTAGAATTTTGGTACAACGAGATTGGAGCTCACTTTAGGGTAAAAATCATGTGTGCACAAGAAACAAAAACTAAAAATAAAATTATCTAGAAACACATATACATGACGTCGGTGCAGTGCTATTGACATATAAAACCCATCATTGAGTATTTTCCTTGAGAAAAGTATTATTCGAAAAGTGTGTTTAATCACGAAATCACGTCTATCAGTTAATACAAGCAATTGAACTTTATTAATCTTTTTCGTCGGGAGATTTTAGAAAAATTTACAAATAAATTCAATAAATCAAAATCGAATAAAATTATTATTTTTGATTTCAATTTTCAACTTTTCTATTACATAAATATTAAGATACAAATATAATATACAATATATACGATTGAAAAATTTAATAATAATTGAGTTTTACGAATTATCTCAAATATATTCTGCCCAAACCAGAGGAGCTGAAATCATGCTTAAATCGCGTATCGAAGTGGATCCACTTATGGGTCGTTCTTTAGTGACTACTGAAATTATAAAGAAGGGTGAAATGGTGGTAGAGGAATCACCATTTGCGATTGGCCCCAAGCAGAACAGCGGCATTGTTTGTCTGGGCTGTTATCGTGATTTATTTTTCGGTGAAGATGGTGATTCGTTGGATCGTTGTGAAATATGTGATTGGCCATTGTGTAGCGCTTGTTTTGATACACCCGATCATATGGGTGAGTGTGAGATATTTACTAAAGCTAAAGTTCATTTTGCGGGAAATGTAAGCGAGGATGGAGTTTGTACACAACTTGATTGCATAACACCTTTGAGGTTAGTGAAAATTTTATTTATCATCACAATTTTGCTTACTAAACTTTTCGCTTTGGATCTGACAAAAAATTAAAACAATTAAAATATTCCCTTTGCAATAATTCATTAGTATACATAGAAAGCTTAAATCGTTCGGGGTTTCCACTCCAATTCACTACGTAAACCTACAAGTACCTACCTATAATTTACATACATTGTCCTTCAACTTATTAGATTTACTCAGGAGAGCTTGTATTTTGTTATTTTTCTCAGTACATATTAAATCTATTTACATTCTCCATATTCTATTCAATAATATTTTGGGGACAATTAATTTGTGCTCAAACAACTAACTGCAAATTTTTACAATTACTTTGTATCTTTGTTTTGATCATTCGCTTCCAAGATTCCATACTATTTTTTGGTTCAAGAGAAGAAATTGGGTAACTAAACGACACAAATTTATTTGATTATGTAATTCATTATATTTATTGAAAAATGGACCACGGAAACCATTATACTGACTATTATCAAGTTTAAATCGTATCTATTATATCTATATCGCCCAAAAAAATTCGTGGGAGGCAAAATGTTACCACCAATTTAAGGAAACCAACAAGGCTATGGCGAAATAATAAAGTTGGTATTAAGCTCGTTAATACCGTGACAATCACACGAAACTTAAAATAAAAATCTATTCTGAAAGATGCTTGTAAGTTTACTTCATTATAAATATTATATTTTGTTTGTAATTACATTGACTGGTCGAAGCATTGGCACACGTTGATTTTCTCTAGTGAAAACAAGAAAAATCCTTTACTGCGGCTACACCGAAGCTATTCACAGGGGTATTTCTATTAGCGATTTTTTGTATTTATATTTAAATCTAAAAACGTTAGCGGCCAATGGTTCGCATACAACGGAAAACGTTTTGCTGGTTCTTTCAAGATCTTTATATTGATTTTGATCAGTCAGTTTGTATAGCAGCTATATGCTATAGTGGTCCGATTAGAATAATATATTCGGAGATTGTAGCGTTGGCTTGGACAATAATCTATGCAAATTTCGTGAAGACAATTTGTCAAATAAAAAGTTTTCCATATAATAACTAACTTTTGATCGGGCAGTTGGTGTGATTGTATATGCCATAATGGTCCGATCTAAAAAATTCAATCAAAAATTGTAGCGTTCCTTTGATGATGTCTTGTCAACTAAAAAAGTTTTCCATACAAGAACTTGATCTTGAGGGTTCAGCTTATATGGCAGATATATGCTATAGTGATCCGATACGAAAATTTATTCAGAGATTGTAGCTTAAGACAATAATCCATGGCAAATTTTAATAAGATATCTCGCCAAATAAAAAGTTTTCCATACAAGAACTTGTTTACGATCGGTCAGTTTGTATGGCAGCTATATGCTCAAGAGGTCCAATCTGAACAATTTCTTCGGAGATTAAAGCGTCGATTTCAAACATAATTCGTATAAAATATCGTGAAGATACTTTGTCAAACGGTTATGGCTAAATCGACTCATTCTGATCATCAATGGCAACGAGCAAGCACTGACAGTAACAGATACTTTTTGATGGTGCTGTCTTACTAATGTCTTGTGATTTCCGATAGATCAGTCATTTCTGGCTCAACTTTATAGTATATTTAAAACAACCATTCTTATGGCGAAGCTTTGAGACTCTTCGATTGGCTTTAAACATGCGAATTCAATTACCAATTGATCCATCGGCACAAATACTTTCCAAACAATTGCTAGATATTAGGAACGGTAGAATAGAACTGAAATCAAATACGCAATGTTCAATTGATTCCTAATTTATCTACTTACAAATATGTATACTCGAAATGCCACTATATAATCTTCGATTGAAGGTTGGTTTACCTACAATTCTTCTGCGGTAATTGAATTCACCTCGATTATGCAACGAAAGGCATTTTCCAATCAAAAAGATCACCGAAGATATTCTTGAAGCAACCATTTTGACTGGAAAATTCAAAGGAAACATGGTACTGTTACCACATATGCCAATCATACTGTCAGAAAATATGATTCCCTATTCGTTTAGCTTTCACCATGTCTACTCGTATATGTAAATAAATTTCAAGGCCAAACAATGCCTATTTGCGTTTTATTCCGATATATTTCAACAATACTGTATAAAATAGTTTACTATACTTTTAATATAATTTAATGTATACCTTACCAACATAAATGAACATTGAGTAATATTTTTGGAATTTTACTATGTTGAGCTTAGTTTGTAGAAACAAAACACATGTTAGTTTGTAAAAATTGCAGTAAAAAAATCACACAACACCCAAAATATAATTTCATCATGCACCCCTTGCATTGTCTATGAAAGGCGAATTGTGAAGCTTTAATGTACATACAGTCAAAGACAAAAGTTCAAATATACCAATAAAGTCTCACTTTTTATTGAAAAAAGTATTTAAACGCAAATATAAGTTTATTTATAGTAAATTATTTACTAACATTTTTTAACAACACAAATTATTTACCAACATAAAAATACACGGGACAAAAGTTTAAATATATTACAATTAAACTAAAATAAAAGTCGTAAAATATACTTAGTATTTGGTTAGTATACCTCGTGATTCAATAACTGGTTTTAGACGGCGTGGCATAGATAGAACCAAATTTCCTGTTTCCGTTTCTGACCATGCCTTTTCCGAGCTTCTTCAAGTATTGTTTGCTAGTTAAAGGCGCAATATCAATATTCCGTGCCAATAGTTCTTTTATCTCATACGCGAAGGTTCGGTTATGTTCAAAACTATTAAAAGTGATATAACTCTCTAAAGTTGCATACTTAGTCATTCAAAGGATTTTTGCATATTGTGAGTGTGTCGAAAGCAACTCAACTGTCCTAGTGATACAAAATAAATTTAGTATCAGTACGTATTCAAACTTCGAAAATAAATGCAAATTAAATTGCATGTACTAACCTTTTGACCCAATTTAGCAACAACCATATAACGGGACATTCTTTTCGCATGTTTTATTTTCATGAGTGAGGGAACTTCAATCCGCTAAACCTAAACTACTCCCAACTCATGTCTCTTATACGGAACTAGCGGATTAAGTATTACTTTATGGGGGAGAAAAAGACATTTAAGTCTCCTCTATAATACAAACTGACTTATTCCTAATCTGTTGTAACTATCTTCATGCCGCTTCACTGACAGCTTTCCATTTATCAGAGGTACGACACATATGTGCTGCCAAAGTTTCGATCGTTACACACTGGAAAAATATATGTTCAGAGTCTTCTATGCACTCTGTTCATGTCGAACATCTGGTATAGGCGCGCGAATTCGTCCCCCTGGATGTCAATGGGCGGCATACTGGCTTATACTTCAACAGCATCGCTTCAATTCGTTCAGAATGCATATATTACTCAGATTAAAGAAAGCACTTCATTTATTGATATAGCATATGATTTTGTGTCTACCGCTTGTATCTGCATACAATATCACGGAATGCTTATGCGTTTAAAAATTTCCGGCTGGAACACACGGCTTTGTTAGCTTGGTTTACGTGCCTTTGACCAGCCATCATATTTTCCAACACTTGAATTTTACTACCCAGTGTGTTAAAATTATGAGAAGTTTCATTATTTTGTGATTTTTCTTTTAATGTTCTACTTTTGTTGCAGTTTCACAATTAAATGATGATCTAGCAGTTCTCAAAATTTTAAAATTCCTCCGAAAAAGATTATTTGGTGTATGATCCATACTATTCTCAGAGACCATACCTCAGCGAGAAAATAATTTGAGTACACCTGTCAATGGGTATGTTCAATCCCTAGCGTTAAATCCTTATTTAGATTATGAATGGTTGCCAACGCGAAAACCAAAGGCAAAACGAAAACGAAGAACAGCTGGTTAATCAAAAAAAAAAAAAAAAACGGCATATTGAAAATAAGTGAAGAGTTTAAGAACCAGTGGATGGTGGACTGCTTTACCAAAGGTGATATTTTGCTTAACGATTCTCCTATAGCTACCTTACATGAGATCGGGAGCCACTAAGCTCAGCGAAGGTAACTATGACGTCACTAAGGTAATACAGACAGCCTTTCGCTACTGTTTTATTGTTATCCTTTGCCTACTAGATATTAACGTAAATTTTTTTACATACCATATTTCTGCTAAATAGTAGCGAATACATTAGAAAATGGTGAATTCATTACTCGGTCTTATTTAGCTCTGTTAGCCGTCCGTTGTTTTTGTACAACAATGTTTGTATTTTTTGCTATTGGATGACATACTTACATTTGTGCGTATAACTTACATATATGTACAGGTATAGGTTTGTGGTAATATCATGATTTGAATTCTTGAATGCGTATATATATACTAATATTCGTGTTTAGATGATATGTATGTATGCAAATTCGTAGGCTCATATTAAGTGTATCAATTTACATACATATGAACACATACCTCAATATAAAGTTTTTAAACGATAAGTAATTAATTATTAATATAATAAATATTGGCAAAACAATGGCAATAAAATTGCTGACGGCAAATCAATACTTGACTCCATATTGATTTCATATTCATACATATCTACATGTGTACATACATAAATTATTTAAATAAATATTATAAAATATATGTTAATATGTCGTCTTAAGGCTTTAAATATCTTCTTAAAGCTTGGTACACATGTTCCTTAGCATCATAAGAAGATTGGTATTGCAGACCAGCAGAATCGGTACATTGCCACGCCCACAAATCACAATTAATCCGAAACGTATAAAGTGCCCTAACTAATCTCTATTATAAGATACAAGACTTTTATTTGGTGCAACGAATCGCATTAGGAAGGGCGTATGCGATGGTCCCGCCCTCTAATAGGCTTAATGTATGCACATACATATCTCTGCAACAATTTGGGCTAAATCAATCCAACGTGCTCAGAACAAACCTTTTAACATAAATTGTAAAAATGGATGAAATCGGTTTACTCCCCTGCCCACT